ACACACACAAAAGGAGGTTATAGGATCCTCCCAGTGGGAACAGTGGGTGATTCCCTCCACTACCTGCGATCATCACGCCCCGCAGGAGCCGACAAACAAACACAGACATTATGCAACAGATGTGTGCGTATTACGTAACATATTTAGAGCTTGATATGTTTGAGAGGATTGCAATGGATACAAATATAAAGAGGCTTCAGATGATGAGAAGGAAAATAGGTGCTCACAACATCTGAGCTAGTCGGAGCTGACTGACAGCAGCATAATAATAATGATCCTCCTCGCTCACCCCTGAACACAGCAGGCTAAACAACACAGCATTTCCCCCTTTAGCGTTCATCCTCTCGGCCCTGTGAGAAGAAGCAACCCCATGCGGACAGAAAACGAATGACATGGACGGATCAGAAACCTAAAACCCGTCACGTCTGTCTGCGGGGGAGCACAAATAACGAGTGAGCAGCACCGGAGTCAGACATTCAGAGTTTATTAACAGAGTATTTACAGTCACAGGGAGGTAACAGGGGACAGCAGAGTGTGGATGTGTGTCACTGTGTTAAGGCTTTTGAGTCCGTGTAGAGGAGATCTGAAACCAGTGCTCTGACTGCTGCTGGGTCCTCGCCGTCTGTGGAGGGGAAAACACAAACATGGCAATGATCAAAGACAATGAAAAACATAGTGTGGGAGCAGATAAACAACACGAGGACTTTTCCCCATTCTTCTTCCTTTTGTAGGAACTCAAACTGTTACCAGGGTGAGCATTTCACTTTTCAGCCATGACAGCTGTGCTGGGGACGGCACAGGTCGTCGGTCCAAACAGAAATATTGAATCAATTAGATGCACAGCAGAGAGTATTGACTGCCTGGGGCGCTGGTAGCCTTGTGGTTAATGCATGCGCCCCCATGTACGGAGGCTGTAGTCCTCCAAGCGGTGGCTTGGGTTCAAATCTGACTCTATCCACTGTCCTGTCTCTAAAATAAAGGCAGAAAAATCCCAAAATAAACCTTTAAAAAAAAAAACCTCTGAGGAGACATTTTTATGTCCGATACTGAACATGACTGTAAACTGTTTTGAGCCTGCCAGTCAGATTTTCCAATCCTCAGTGGAAGATGTTACTCCTGCTTCTGGATGTAAGCGTATACTCAGCTCACGATTGAATACGTGTCACGATACTTGACACTTTTTTCATTTTGTAAAGACACAAGATTCAAGTAAATGTCTGATTGACCGAACGATGTCTGTAAACTGTCACCATGGACAACCTCAGAGGTGCAGAGGGGCGCTGGACGCCTGCTGCTATGATGTCACTCCGCCTACCGCTTTAGGATACGGATTGCAGTAAAACCACAAGCGAGATCGGCGTTTTATTTTTTTTACTTGTTTTCCTTTTAGTCATTCTGTGCATTTAGTGGCAATTTGTTTTTGCTTGTAAAATCACATGTTCTTCTCCACAGCAGAATATCCCTCAGACACATTTTCACACTGTTCTTTTTCTGCAGATGTCTCTCTCTCTCTCTCTCTCTCTCTCTCTGTCCCTGGGCTCCTGCATCAGACGTTTGCCACACTGGGTTAGGTAACAAGTCGGTGAAATCACAGTCAAAAGAAACACAACAGGCCCAGAGGTTGAATTATTAACACGGGCAGCAGGAAGCTACACTAACACCGCCATCAGGCTTCAATAAAATCAGCTGGAACCTGAATTTTCATCTGCGCTCTGAATGCTCCAGAGTCCTGCTGATAACGTGTGTGTGTGTGTGTGTGTGTGTGTGTGTGTGTGTGTGTGTGTGTGTGTGTGTGTGTGTGTGTGTGTGTGTGTGTGTGTGTGTGTGTGTGTGTGTGTGTGTGTGTGTGTGTGTGTGTGTGTGTGTGTGTGTCATTGTTGTTTCCTTCTCGCTGACCAGGTTTCCACTCATTTCACTCTCAGGCGTGGTTGACTAGCTGGTCATCCATGCAGACCAAAGACCGTGGACTAAATTGTGTTTTAATCAGGTTTACGCTCTCCTGTAACATCGTTTCATTCACAACATGCAGGGCTGATAAAAACGCAGCCTGACAGAAGCAGGATGGATGTTGTAGAGGAAGGAAAATATGAAACTATTGTGCACATTTTCAATGATTAACCAGGTTACTGACTTAGTTAAACATCGTGTTAGTCACCGGGAACAAGTTGGTCAGCAACGAAAGAATGATTCAAGAGAGGGAAAGAGTCAGAGGGTGTTTTTTCTCTTCCTGCTTTTGTGCTTGTGGGTTAGAGCCTCTCTGGACACCCTCCGGTGTTTTTAGCCAAGTTTACTCACACGCAAGTGATTTATATACACTTGGCTGCAAAAAGGAAACGTTTGATTTGATTCTTCCTCCATACATTTTCCTCCTCGATCTCTTTAATGTGTAGATGTGTGTATAATAAATTACAGAGAGGCATGACAGCTTATGCAACTTTTGTGTTTTAATCGTAAACCTCTCTTTAATTTGTTCCTGTGAGCTGCGTTACTTCAAATGCTAAAACTTGGATTCACCAAACTCTCTTCTTGTAAATGACTCTGTTTTTTTTTTCCCATCCTAATGAGCCGACTGGCCCACGAGGAGGTGTGTGCGTCGTTAGATGTGATCATTAGGCTAATTGATTCGCCTAAAGAGCTTTTTAATGTTATCTCTTTCTGCTCTGTTTGTGAGGACGTTTCAGGAGAAAGAAAATCACATTTTAACGCCGCACACATTCTTGTCCTGCTGTTTGAGATGTGCAACTCAAATCACTTAACATATGGCCAACTGATTGGGCATGGGGCGCCAAAGCCCATGCCGCATCCCCTTCCAGAGAGGGAGTGTGGTCAGATAAGGCTCATTTGCATATTTAAAGCTACAGACACAGAAACAGCCTGTTCTGAGCAGGGCTGAAACAGAGGTGTTTATAGACATGATCAAATACAGGGTCAGAGTGGATTTAGAATGAGAAACTTCACACACATGTTTTGGGAAGCTCAGAGACTTATTTTTACTGGTTGGAAAGGAGGAGAATATGTGACCTTTAAAAAGTAGTAGATGAATCGTGTCAGCCTTGGCGGAGACTACATTTTTTTAAACATTTATCTAGTTTAGTTTTGGATTTAGGGATTGAGATTCTCAAGCAACAGAAGCTGTTCTCTCAGCAAAGACAGGCAGGCTATCAGAAGAAGAGATTTACAACTAAAAAGTCACATGTGGTCCAGAAAAAAAAAACGGAAAGGAAATCTAGTTATGAGAAAAACCGGTGAATGTGAGAACTGTTTCTAAATCCCTGCTACTCACCAACCTGCCAGCCCTTGTTAGTAGTAAAAATCTGCCATGTGGAGATCTTTTTTCTCTTCTCGTCCTCATTAGTATTCAAGTTTCGGAGTTTCACAACAGAACGGCAGAAAAGTTGGCGACAGATATTCACAGTTGGTCTCTCAGATTGACAATGAGAGGAGATGTGAATCAGCATCCTTATAAAGAACTGTCTTTAGTTTTTTTTTTTTTTGGTTTTTAACGTACCGACTCCGAGCGCCTTCAGGCGACTCCTAAACTCTGGTCTCTCCTCCAGGACCCTGAACAGGTTGGTGGACTCCATGTGCTCCAGCTCCACCTTCCAGTAGACGTAGATTTTGTGGTTGAAGCTCACATACACCAGACAGGGGCTGTTCTTACCCTCCTTACACGTATACTGACCTGAAAACATAACAAATGACATGTATGAAGGCTGTTCTTTTCAATCAATATGTGGCTGCAGTATCAGGATACGGTCTGTTGTGTGAATCCCAATGAACCCATCAGGACTAATATGAGCCTCTGTAGCAGAGCCAGCCTGCACACAAACAGAGGAGCAAATCTAATCTGCTGTAATGACCCCACAGAGCAGCAGAGAGCAGAGCAGAGCAGAGAGGAGGAGGGTGAAAAGAGACAAACCCCAATTCACTGAGGAAGATCAAACACAGTCTCTCTTATCCGCTTAATGCTGAACACGTCGTATCAGCTGCTTTGACTAATCGGAGGACTGTTTGTTCAGTCTCTGCAGAAAGGAATATTTAAAGACAGGCAGAGAATACAAGACAGGAGAAGAACGAGCAGCGATCGGGGGAATCCAAAGCTAAATGTTGCCCCCTGCTGGTGTCATGAGATGTTTCGCTTGGCTTTGATTAAATAATGAAAATAAAAAAAGCTTATAATTAGAATTTAAGTTTGAAGGCCTTTTTTTGCAGGCATGATTTCAGAGGGTTATTTTTCAGGTTATTCTCATATTTTTGATTTCCCTTCAGGAGACATTATGGAATTTTGACAAACCAGAGCCTAAGCCGACATAATAAGTGAACGTGCAATATATATTTTTTTAAAACAGAAATAGAAACAGAAACGTTCCAAGAGACAAGAAGACAGGAGAGAATCCAAACTGATAGGTGAGATTGTTTGGAGGAGGTGTCCCTCACCCGCACAGAAGGCGTTGACGTTCTCGTCGAACTGGAACCTCACGACCGTCCGGTTGTGGTCGATGATGTACGTTTGACCGTCCCAGGCGCACGCCACCACCTCCTCCCTGCCGTCTCCCTAAGAACAAAACAAACACATGACCTCATCATGATCATCGAAACAAAAAGTGGACGTCTTTGCTTTTCTGATAAAAGGAGTTAAAAGTGACCCAGCTCACATCTGGTCTTGTTTTTTAGGTTTGTGTCTTGATGAAAAGGAACATCTTTACAAGTTTTTTGCTCATAGTTAAAAATTTCACGTTGATAATTTGGGCTTTTACCGCATCTTTAAATAAACTCCTAAGACACCAGTCGGAAGGTCGAGGGTTCGACCTCAGCTCTTGCAGCCACATGTCCGATGTGGCCTTGGGCAAGACACTTAACCCCAAGTTGCCCTCGCTGTTTCATCATTTGAATAAATAGATTTGGTCATTCTGACGGTCACGTTACACAGCAGCTTGTGTGTGAATGTGCAGGTGTGATCGGTCCAGGTCAGGTCCATTTAGCATTTACACAAACTCACAGTGACGTCGAGCTTCTGAAGTGCAAAGAGCTGATGATCCACCTGGACGGACCACAGCAGCTGCTCCGAGCTGTCCATCAACTTCAGGGTACCTACGAGGATTTACACTATTAGATTTAGCAGTATAACCTTTAAGTACAGCTGTATGCGTTTGTGTGCAATAATATTCAAACAATAGCACGAAGCACGATGAAGTCGACTCTGAGTTCAGTCCAAACATCTTCCTAAAGACGAGGTGAGAGAATAACCCCTCCACACTCTGACATCTTTGACTAATCATCTCTGAAGTTGCAGTCAACAGATCTGAAGTAGAAGCTGCTGATAGCGTCTCATAATGATCTTGATGATGTCATTTCTCTCTCCTCTCTGCTGGCTCGTCGTCGTCGTGTCAACCAGAGGGAGACAGTGAGCTGGCAGGCGGAAGCCTTCGGTGATGATAATCCCTCTGCATCCTCTCTTGTTTAAATATTGATGAACTCTCCAGCTGCTCTCTGAGCCGTCTGCCAGAAATCTGCTTCTGCTGCTGCTGCCAGGAGGATCCTCCACACTGGCTAACAGCTCCGCTCCTGAACATATTACTCCTGCTACAGATACAACAAGTGGCACACAAGACATATGGCCCTCGTTTACATCTGCCCTCTGATTGGCTGATCATCCTAAGAGTACTTTAAAAAAAAAACATTTCTGGACTCAATAAAGAAATGACACATAGCTGAGCTCAGTTCTCGGCCAGCTGGTGTTCACACCGTCTCAACACGAGGTCACACACTTTAAATGAGAACGATTTTTACTCATCAGGGGTGTGAGGACCCCCGTGCATCATGTCTTTAAGTGCCTATCAGGGGTTAAATACGATGTGAGTGATTCAGATCTTCACTGGTGCATCTTGACTTTATATGATGACATCATTATGAGCACAGATTAAAGGCCTATAAATGGGTATTGGATTGTTTTTCTCCCCAATATCGATACTGGACCCAAAAATCCGATATCGGCCTGGCCCTACAACAAACACCTGCTTTGACTTCTGTTGAGTTTCTGATTGGTCAAGGAGAAATTCTTGGCACTCAGGTTAATATAATCACACAATCATTTTTGGTATAAATCCCATCAGCAGTGGAAGTGCTATTAAAACATTCAAATTAAGGTTTTTATGTGTTTTAGGGACAGATACAGAATATTGAAGGCGCAGATATTGCACCTCAAAGGCCGTCTGAATACACCTGCAGAGAAGCTTATGACAGCGATCTAAGGTTGGATACTAATTTATGAAACCTTTGCGTTTAAAGGCTCTGATGAAAAGAAGAGAACAACACAGTGAAAATAAAACTTGAAAGGAAATCAGCGACACACAATAAGAACATATTTATGTATAAACTAGACAAGAGTTCAGGTTTGTTGCTGACTATTAAACATGTTTTAAATTCATGACTCACCGTCTAAAGTGCAGAGAGCGAACAGGCCACATTTAGAAGATTCTTCTTTAGAGCCTGTTTAAAAAAAAAAAAAACACATAAATTATAACTCATGAGTAACTTATTCAAAGTTACACCTGACTGAAGAGCTTCAGGTTGAGTGTGTTTGGTACCTTTGCTGATGCTGCCGATAAGATGAGTGGATACGTTCTTATTGTGGATCCGCCCGGTGGTCAGATGGAGAACTACATCTCTGGAAGGTCCCTCACTGAGGAAAAAGACATCGAAGGAGATTTTAAGAGACAAAAATAATCATAATTTGTTTTTTTGTTTATATGTCTGTAGCTTCAATCTGTAAAGGGGTTTACCTCCCAGGGGTGGCAGGGGCCTCCTCTCCTGAGTCGCTGGAGTCCTGTTGGGTCCAGGAGCAGAGCAGGATTGCATAGCCGCAGCCTGGCTGAGAAACCATCAGCTCTGGTAAACCCTCAGGACCTGGATTCACTGACAAGCTGTCTACCTGAAACATACACATTATCGACAGACCTGTTTTCAACCAGCAGGTCTTTGAAACTGTAAATCTATGAACTAATGTATCAACGTTCACCAGTATAACTTCAATCTCCACTCTGCCTCACATTCCCCCTATCAGACTGAGAGTTGAAGCTCAGCGTACCTGCCCCTCTAGAAGCCATTTCTTCAGCAGGACTAGCTGTCCTGATCCCAGGTCTGAGCTCTCAGACGGCTCCTCCCAGCGGAAAGCTCGCACCACCCGGTCTGTATAACCGACCACCAGCTCACTGCGGCCATCACCGTCTACATGTGAAGACATGAGCCAACACTGAAGTCAAATCCAACATGCAGGAATAATAAATGTTTCATATATGAGAACAGCAATAGAGGAAGGTTTTTACCAATGTCACTGATGAGGATGACTTTGGTGTTGGCAGGTATGTGCTGAGTGAAGAGCGGCTTCTGGTCGTCGGAGGAGGAGATGAACTCGTACTGGCTCGACGAGTCGGATTTATTTGCAGCGGCAGCTGTCAGGTCAAAGAGGTGAAACCAGCCCTCTGCACCCACAGCGACCACAAAGTTCTTTCAGACGGGAAGAAAATGAAACACAAGACAATGAAGGGAAACATCTCATCAGAAACATTCATCATGACATCCTGCAGATGATGATTTCCTGACTCACCTTTCCTTTGTTGCAGACATCTCCGACTGCAACGCAGGTCAGCTGCAAAACACACGCGATACAAGAACCACAAACGAACACGTTCAGTTTCAGTCATCTTTGAATAAAAGAGTTTTCAGATTCTGCAAGAGTTGTGTCACAATACCAGAACTGAGAACTTCAATACATGACTATCGTATTATATTTTATTTTGAAAAATATTTTATAGGCGACGGGAAACTGTCAATGGATTCTTGTCTGGTCATGAACATTTTCAGCAGATTTTCTGTATAGTTTTCTTTTTTTTAAATTAAAGGAAAAGTCTGCTCAAATTGCAATAAGATACTGATATTTGAGTCTTAATAATTTATTTTGAAAAATCTCAATGGATTCTTGTTCCTCATGTCCCTGATTGTGGTCATGAATATCTGTACAGATTTTACTGTATAGTTTTTGTGAAAATTAAAGGTAAAGTCTGCTCAAATTGCCCTTAGACGCTTTGATATTTTAGTCATTTTGAAAAATCTGTGACAGGTGACGAGAAACTTTCAATGATTCTTGTTCCTCATGTCCTTGACTGTGGTCCTGAATATTTCCATCTGATTTTACTGTATCATTTTTGAGATAATTAAAGTTTAATTCTGCTCAAATTGCATTAAGACACTGATATTTGAGTCATATTCAAAAAAATATCTTACATTTATTTTGAAAAATCTGTGATACGTGACGAGAAACTTTCAATGGATTCTTGTTCCTCATGTCCCTGACTGTGGTCATGAATATTTCCAGCTGACTTGTACAGTTTTTGAGGAAATTAAAGTTTAATTCTGCTCAAATTGCATTAAGACACTGATATTTGAGCCATATTCAAAAAAATATCTTACATTTATTTTGAAAAACCTGTGACAGGTGACGAGAAACGTTCAAACCGTCAGTCTCAGCACTCACCATGCCCACGCAGGTTCTCGTGATCCACGGTTTGGACTCATCATTTTTGTACACCAGCAGTTTTCCACTCGTGTCTCCCACAACCAGCTCGTTCAGCTACAGACAGAAGACAGTTAAAGACAAGGGAATGAACAAACACTGATAATAACGCGACCCTTGGTGTTAATTATAAAGGGTCAGGTGTCCAGCTCCTCTGCATGCTCATTGGCTCATCTGGTTTGTGTTTTAAAATATATATAATATAATATAAAAGTTGAACTTCCTTACAGAGTCGTTGTCTGCGTCTCCCAGACAGATCGCATGTGGAAACAGAGTTCCTGTAAAGTCCAAACTCACACGCTGAACGTAGTTTAAAGCCCGCATGGCCGCTGAGGGAAGCTAAACGTCACAGCTGATGATTGTTGTTAAACATTTCTGCAGCTGAGGGGAAAAAACGCGTAATTACCAGAGAGCATGCACACGTCATCGCTTGGTTTATTAAATATCTCTTTGTTGAGTTTCTTTAAAGCTCAGATAAACAAGTTTGCCATGTAAGTAGCTGTAAAGGCTGCTTTTTCAGTCAGCGCACACAAAGCTTCTTCCTGGTAAACAAAGGCATGTGATCTCAAAAGTACGGCAAGTAAGTAGAGACAAAAAGATCGTCTTCGAGAATCTAAAAAACGGTAACTGTCGCTTTTTTTCTGTTACTACTTTTCTTGTAGTTAATGTGCTTGCTGCGCAGTTTGCACACATAGAGAGTAAAAGTATAATTGCAAACTAGATGACTGAATATTCATTTTAAATATAGGTCAAATAATGCACCTATAATCTGAATATTAAAACGCGTTTCTGTTACTGTAGTTTCATTTTAAAATTAGATTTTTCATTTGAATTAAGACACTCATTTTGAAAATGAGAAAGCAAATGTAATATTCTTCTTCATTTTAATTCTAGTCATTTTTTAAGTTGAAAACTAAAATTCAAATTTGATAAATTAATCATCATTTTATTTTTGAGTCAAATAATACACTCATATTCTAAAAAATTAAAAAGCATTTCTGTTAATGCATTTGATTTTTCAAATTAGCTTTATCATTTGAACTTTGATCACTAATCGCTTCCATAGCATACTGCAGGAGCCGCTATCTTTTAGTTGTTTTGTTTTCCTCAATGTATTATTTTATTCAAACGTTTGACCTTTTGCACATACATATAGGCATATATGTGTATAGTTTTGTTAACTTTAAAAAAAAACAAGAAAAAAGGTAGATCTGATTCACAATGTGAAGTACCAGCATTGTCCTCTAGAGGGCGACAATCAATCACAGGTTTTCATGTCAGAAAGCAGCAGAGGCAGGAGGGAGGAGATGTTTACACAAATATCATGAGCAGTCAGAAGTCCAACACAGGAAGAGTAGTGATTTTAAAAATGCCATTAGCTCAATGTTAATGGGTGGGAGGATTGTTTATTCTGTTTTCTTCCCTTCTTCTTTCCTCCTCAATCATTATTTCTCTTCTTTTGTTTATCAGTTTATTAAAACCCTTTCCCTTCTGTGTGAATTGTATGAAAAAACAATTTTGTTGAAAGTTGGTCAGGAGAAGTTTGCTGCAGGTTTCAGTGAAACTCTTCCCTGCAAAGTTTTTATAATAATGCTCAAATCAAGTGTTTGCATATTTAAATTTTTTATCTAAATCGTTTAGTTTTATGTACAAATCCACGTCAAAGTTTCCACGACTGTTAAACTTTTACAACATAGTTCCTGAAAGTAACTTTTAGCACACTCGTTGGATGAAAGAAGTTTCAGTTAAACTCCTGTTGTAACATGTTGTATCCGTGTTTGTTGGTGCACCTGCTGAAAGAAAACATTGTGAGAAAAACGTTTTTTAATGACAAACAAATTCGATTATCCTTTAACATCATCACACACAAAGATTGCATGGTCGATATGGTTGCTTGTGGTTTTTTTGTTTTGTTTTATTGTCTCCCAACAGATAAAAAAGGAGAAGAGGCTGAAACACATAAAGTGGTTTAAGGGGAACTCGGGCGCCCAGATGTCATATTAATTATTACACTCAGCTATGACTGGAAAGCCCCTCAAGAGAACTGAGCGCCCTCCCAGCCTCTGGAAGAGCAGCAGCAGCAGCAGCAGAGGAGGGAGAGAAAGTCCTCACAAAGCGCTAATTGGACTCTGGAAGCACACTGACAGGGCATGGATAGGTTTCAGAAAGCCTGGCGGTGGCGGAGGGGTGCAGGGGGAGGCTGAATACAACCCACGCTTCTTTTCTAAACTCTCTTGCTGCGCTGAAAAAAAGAGGGGAGGGAGACAGAGAGAATAGAGGGGGAGGGAAAGAAAAGAAAGTATTGGTGGTGGGGGTAGGGGAGGAGGGGGCTCCTCAATGCAAGCTTGATTTTGAATGCCACTGCCAACGCAGAAAAATTGCACAATTTATTACAATCCGCTCTTCAGGACCGAAATAAAGAAACAGAGGAGGAGGGTGAGGCTGTGGGTGAATAGAGGTTATCTGCACACACATACACACACCCAAGTTACTTATACAGGAGACGAGCATTGGAAGGGACACAAAGATAAAGCACTTCATGCGTAAAAAGCTGAAATATTACGCACAAAAAAGGTTTGAAAGTAAATCTTCCTCTTTTTTATTTGTTTTTGTGTTATTGATCACTCACGCCTTGCACTATATGCAAACGCAAACACGAACTCTATGGCATCAACTTATTTTTGTTGGACAACTAATGGGACCATACAATTCACCACAACTTCAGAGAAATCAGAAATGCATGCGTAACGGCTGAATTACGCACAAATTACGCAGGAAAGGTTTGAAGAAGAACCTGTTTGTGTCATGACTTCTCTGTTTTATTGAACTTGAACACACTACTCATACATACATGTTTCTAATATGATGTACGGAGGGGAACAGTCATAGTAAAAAAGAAGATTTTCATGCATTAAAAAACTGAAAACTAATCATTCCTAACCCTGGCTCCTCTTCTTCTGGAGGATATTACGCGTCCACGTTCGCGTGCACGCGCAATCACACTCAGAGAAAAACAGAGTGGGTGTTTTTGCTCCTTGTTTTGTTCCGCGCTGAAAGACTTGTTTTATTATTCTACACTTTTTTTCAAAGCGACAATAATCGACAGGACTCGGCGCGTCGACGCTACTGTAACCATATCGGGTGTATCAAATCATACACAAAGCCTCCTCCCAAACTGCTTCTTAGGGCCCCTCCGCAGATTTGCGCCCCTTCGTTCCGCCTGTGCGCGGCTGATGATCTGCTCTAATCAAAGTGGAAAATTCGGCCTCTGGTGCACAATGGAGCCTCAAACGAGCGGCATTCAGACGCGTCTGTAATGTTAACAATAAAACTAGAGCAGCGAATGACTGATTTACATTCAGAGATAAAACTGCAGCATGTGGAGAGTTGTTTTAAGTCCGGATGGTTTGTTTGCTGCGAGCAGAGCTGTCTTTCAGCATCACAGCTTGAACCAGCGCTAAGAAAACCCCAAAATATAAACCAAAGTATGGATACATGGAAGTTTATTTTCTGCCATGCTGGATAGGTCTTCTCTGGAGAATCAGGAGGTTATTTAATTTGACAAAACAATCCCTTCGAAACCAAATATCTGATTCACTTTCTTCTTCTTCTCTTTTGAACAACCGCTGGATTTGATTCCACTCCTCAAACCACTGATTGATTTGGTGTCACCTGTTGAAATGAAAGTGTTAAAAGTCATTTTCTGTGTTAAAGTTCAAAGTTAGTGTGTCTGCTCAGTGAAATATGAGGGGAAAGTCCCAGCCCAACCTTGGAAAGACTTTATTCAAGATGTGATTTTTTTTTTTTTTTTTTTTTTTAGCTCAGTAAAGAACTGATCGTTTTTTCACAAGTTAAAAGTTATTTGTTAAAAGATCCATTCGGGTTCTAATGTACGTGTTTTTCTTTATATTTAGTCCCGATAACGATGGGAAAACTGTCATTTTTAAAGGTTACAAAACTACATGAATGCATTAATCAAACATGAGCGTAATCAGGGAGTTTCGTTTGGAACAAAAAAATAAAGATTTGGAAGTTGCTCTTGCTCATTACGCACAGAGAGCGAACATGTTGTCCTCCACTCTTCTCCTCTCCGTTGAAACTTTCCGTTCTGCTCCTCCACTCACCTCTGTGACACTCGTGATAGATAGAAAGAAAGAAAAAACTCACCACTGACTGTTTGTTTAGTGCTTCAAGTGGCACGCGTCCGGCGCGCTGCACCGGGGCAGGAGCCCAAGGTGAATCCACGCGACTGGAGGGCGTGGCTAGAGCCCCATCCACACGTATTGAAAAGCAGTGGCGTCTCTCCTCGAGGACTCAGTAGAGCTTTGAGGTGCGCGTGAGGCAGCAGCCAAGGGACTGCCCCCAACTGAAACAAGTGGAACTTAACACGTGAACGGCACGAGCGGGACGCACCCCCTCGAGACTTGGGTGATTTTCTTTATAAGTTTGTTTTATTTTTCTTGGAATGGACATCACAGCCAAGATGGAAATTAACCTCAGCCAGCAGCAGCTCCTTCCACCCGCATGCTACTTCTCCTCCTCCATGCCGCAGAGCATCCAGCTGAGCCCGAGCGGCAGCAGCCAGAGCAGCGGGAAGTCTGCGTCCAAGCAGCCGAAGAGGCAGCGCTCCTCCTCTCCAGAGCTGCTGCGGTGCAAGCGGAGGCTCAACTTCGCGGGGTTCGGCTACAGCCTGCCGCCGCAGCAGCCGCACGCCGTCGCCCGGAGGAACGAGAGGGAGCGGAACCGGGTCAAGCTGGTCAACAACGGCTTCGCGACCCTGCGGGAGCACGTGCCCAACGGAGCCGCCAACAAGAAGATGAGCAAAGTGGAGACGCTGCGCTCGGCCGTGGAGTACATCCGCGCCCTGCAGCAGCTGCTGGACGAGCACGACGCGGTCAGTGCGGCGTTCCAGTCCGGAGTGCTGTCGCCCACCATGTCGCAGGGATACTCCGCAGACATGAACTCCATGGCGGGGTCACCGGTGTCCTCATACTCGTCAGATGAGGGCTCCTATGACCCCCTGAGTCCAGAAGAGCAGGAGCTGCTGGACTTCACCAACTGGTTCTGAGCATCCGTATGAGGTAAGAACCTAAAGATGTGAACTAAAAAAAAACAGACTTCTACAGATACAGCATTCATGATAGACACAATGAACAGTCGTTTAACATATTGCATCTCTTTTCCTTTTTACAGAAATATGGATCAACTCATTTAACTGTTGTAGTGCGCTTGGGATGGTCCCGGAGAAGGCTGGCGGTCCACAACAACAAGACGCACTGTCAAAGCCTTTTGGTCCCGCGTCCTGAACGACCGGTCCTCCCAGACTGACAGACAGACAGACACGGCCTTAAAAGTCCTGAAAACTTCGGGGTGAAATCAGGCCAGAGATCAGCGCCAAAGGATTAAAGAAAGTTGGATCTCCTGACAGCGTGGGAATCCAAGCTTCTGTGCATTCGTCCACGATTTAAACAAACAAACAAACCCTAAAGTGAATTCACGCTCTTCAGCAGCACATTGAAAACATTATTTAATACGCCGCTCTTCAACTATGCTAAACCCAATCACAGAACAGCATACCCTTTGGTAAACCTCTCAGAAAAATGCTTCCAAGTCGCGGATTTTATTCTATGAAATTCTATATTGAACTCTTTTTTTTTTTTTTTTTTTTTTTAAATATATTAAGATATTTTTGTATGTAAGAGATTTATAGATGTTTTGTACACATCCTTTTTGTATATATTTTTGTCTATATATTGCGAAAGTTGCTTCTATACCTCCTGCCTATGTAGACGTGTAGTCTATTATTCTCTGGCTCTTTTTGTTCATGAGGTTTTTCCCAGAAGGAGTTTGACACTCCGCCTTTTTATTCTATAGCACCGACGTGTCTTATTTAATAGCAAAACCATGTTATTGCATTAAAAATGTCATGAAGTTAACGATGATCAAAACTTATGCAGCTACTGTCCAAACAGAGCGCAATGACCATGCATTGTCTCTCTACACTGCCAGCTCTATGTTGTCTTCACATAAAAAAAAAGTCTTATAACCATATTTTCTACACTGAAGTCCAAAATAAAATGATTTGCTACTGAATTGTTTTTATGTCATGTCTTATTTGGGAAAGGGGGGGGGGGTTAAGGAGGGGAGGAGGGCACTTAAGTTACAGCTTATGGTGTGTAGCTATAACAGAAGGGAGGATGATGGAGAGAGAATTTGATAAGATGCTGCAAAAACCCACTTTTACGCACATTTTACGCACAGGAAAACTTCCCTGTCGTCTGTAGAAATGCAGACCAAAGTGTGTTGTTGAAGTTCTCAGCTACAGATCACTCATCCAAATTCTCAGTAATCCACTCTTGTGTTTTTTGTTTGTAAAATGGGACAGTAAATACAAGAGAATTGATCCATCACGCGTAAATCTTGAGCCACAGGTGCGTAAAATAGAAGCCCACTGTGTTTGTTTCTGAGCATAAACATATATATATAGAGTATATATAGGATTACCGTGGTTAACCTGCAGCATAGTCATACAAAGCACTGATAGTTTGCTGGAAGTTTATCTTAAAAAGTTCTCAAACAAACACCTTTTAAGATAAAGAGAATGTCCTGGAAAGTTGTTGTCGCTTTGTCCTCTGAGTTTGGACTGTTTGCATCAAACAGCGTCTGATGATGCTTTTAATTTTGTTTTTTTGTGTTAACAATGAAAACTAGATAGAATTACAGTAGTTATAACCTTCTTGTACATAAACAGGCTTCACAGAAACAGACTGTAAGCGCTCAGACCCAAACTGGTTTCCTCTCAACTTTCCAAAACGAGTTCAACTTTGTGAAAAAATAACGACGATTTCTTTACGAGTCTTTATAATCTGCAGATAAGAGGGAATGCCAAACGCATTGTTACACTCGACGATCACCGAGAGGTTTTCAAGGTGGAGCGCGTGCTTTGTGTAAAACGAAGTTTGACAGGTAGGACTGAAGGCTGCAGCCGGGCGCGTGTCTGCTGTAATGAGTGAATGGAGTCTGTCGGGTGGTCGAGTGGAGACACGGAGCTGAACTGGCTGATGGCGTGTGCCTCTGACACACACACACACACACACACACACACACACACACACACACACACACACACACACACACACACACACACACACACACACACACACACACACACACACACACACACACACACACACAGCACCTGGTATGTGTGTGAAGCTCTTCTTGTGTTTTCTAACTCAGATGAATGATTTCAGATTTAGGAATCAAAAGTTTTGACTTAAATCTCACTTTCTATCTAAAGAAACAAACTATTTCCAAATGAGAGAAACAAACAGAAAACAGTCGTGATCCCTCCAGCTGTTCTCAAAGGAGAGTTCATGGGCCACCAGGGGGCCATAAGGGGGGGGGGCATTGAAAAATGAGCTGGACTGCCAGCTCAGAGTACTGTAGTCAGTAGAAGCAGAAAAAATACTTATTAAGTTTAGACCAGGGACGGGCAAATTTGGTCACAGCGAGGGCCACATTCATTTAATTCTCACTGCCTGGGGGCCAAACTGTAGAATACAAAAAACGATTAAAGTTGATTATGTCTCAAATTGAACTCAACATATACCAGTGATCGAATATTATAATGGACATGTTTCTGGTTTTCATGATTTCATGGTAGATTTTGTCATGTTTTCCAATTAATTGATGTGTAAAAATTGACCTGAGGGCCACTTTGAGGGTTGATGGGGCCCGCATGTGGGCCCCCAGGCCGCCAGTTGCCCACCCCTGATTTAGACTCTTTCTTTCAGCCTTATTCTGCTCAGTTAAAACTACAGGAACAAGATCAAGATTCAGTTTATTGTCTCTTCCATAATATACTCAGTCCCACTTTAAGTCTACATGTTGGTAGTTATTCTTTGTTTCTATGGATGGTTTCCAAATTGTTTGGAGTTATACTTAAGTCTAACTATCAAGTTAAAACTAGAAAATAAAAAAAATAAAAATGTATAGTTGACCTCAGACATATGTGTTGGCACATCTGTAAGTTGACACTATATTATGAACAAAAGTCAACAAAAACATATTTTCCCCCTCAATATGTGTGAATAAAGCTCTTATTTATATGTACAATAACATTTCAGCATTAGAGCTTAAATTTCACTGCCAGCAAAATAGTAAAATCAGCATTTTTCAGCTTTATTTGGATACAAAAAAATCAAAGACAACATGTGGCACCAGATTCTACAAATAATATTCAATAAAAGAAAAAAAACACAACAGCTGACCGGCTGCATTACAGGTCACATATACACCTCCATGTTACCAGATGGGACAGGGGTCAAACTAGAAAGTAAAAAAAAAAAAAAACACATCATGTACATTTTGAAATAATCTGTTCTGAGGGATCTTTGATGTTTGATCGTTAGGTTGTAAATGTGTGCTGCAGTTAGCCGACAGGGGAGTGGGGGAGCTCCGCCCTGCACATATCACCAGCACAGTCAGCGTCATTTGAGGGTATTTTGGCTTCACTTTATACATGTAAAATAGATGGAGACGCGATGTCCATATTATCGATATCTTTATTTGTATAGAGCCAACTCATAACTAATGTTATCTCAATACACTTTAAAAAAAAGAGCAGGTAGACTCTTTGTTACATTATTTACTCAACATTTATCCATCATGAGCATTAGGCAACATTTTGCAAAGTTACAGTGGCAAGACAAAACTTCTTTTAAGAGGCAGAAACCTTAATCAGACCCAGACTCATGTTGAACAGTCAACTACTAAAACTGTGTTGGGGGTGTGGGGGGGGAATGGGGGGGGGGGTTGTATTTCTATACAGTCATTGCTTGGTAGATCTGCTTACTGATCTTAAACGGCAAAACTTTGTCTCCGTGGAGGTTTTTAAATCCTCTGTGAAATCTTTTGAGTCCAGGCTTTCTGCGTCGCTCTGCAGATCGTTTTAGTGTTTTTTTTTTTTTTTTTTTAAATCTCCTGTTTGAGTTTATATTTGTGTTGAATCTGTGTTGCTGTTTTTCTTAGCCAAGTCAGCTCACGACAAACCTGGCTGAATAAAAGTTCCATAAATTAAATGTTTGGCAACTGGGTAAATCCATATTTTTGTAATCAGCTGCAGAACTAAACATGTGTCTTCTTAAAGTGTACTTTTATAATCATGTTGCAGAATGACACTTCATTCTCGTATATATTTTTAATTCTCCATGAAGACATACGCTGCTTACAGGACGACGCCCCCCCGCTCTAACAGTCGTGGTTTTGCAGCCTGTCTGACTCCATTATGTTTCCCTCCTCGGCGGTCTGTCAAGCGTGTACGAGCTGCAGGAGAGCACGGCCATATCTAATTGGCAAAGCGCGGGCTAAACAATGGCTCAAACTATATTAGATGAATATCTCATTGAATATCATTCATCAGTGTTGACTAAGTTGGATAGAAGAGGACAAAAAAAAGTCTGAGCGTGCATCTTTGCTCAGATATTGTTTGTTTTTTTTTACTGCAGAACAATGTGAAGCTGTTGCGTCATGAACATTTACATGATGAACTCTGCGTCCACAGCAGCTTGTTCTCAATAACATGCAGGAGTTAGAGGCTTGATGCAACACGTGTTAAAGTGCTGTGGTGTGTTTTGACAGAGACAAAGCCCTCACTGCCTCTGCTGGAGAACATTTCAGGACCACAGACAGCACTTCACAGCTCTCTGCAAACGTTAACGACACAACTCTTAATACATATTTCTCATCATCTCAAACATGTTATCATCTAAAGGAAGAGGAAAGTGAAAGCCCTCGGTATGTTTAGGCCATAAATCATTGTGGGACAAAAGGGAGATTATGTGACGCGTTCAACAGAGACCAGATCAAAGAAACCCACAAACCAGTTTACATGATATGGGGGCGTGGCGCTGACAAAGGCTGCACAACGGATAATAACAAATGAAGACTTATTGTGTTCAATATGTTGTGTAGAAGAATGTAAATCGTGGATTATCTAGACTTTCACATGATTTATGCACACTCCCATGGCCCATCCCGCCCTGTTTCACCAGCAGGGACAGAAACTGCTGCTGATGAGAGCTAAAAAAAAACATTTGAAAACAAGTTTCAATTTTTAAGAAATAAAATGCATCTCAAAGTTGATTCTGTTGTGATACGTTTGACTTTTTAGGCCATATAATTCTGCCACTAGCCACAGCTTCCCTGAGTGGGCTGGGCCGTCTTCCTTCCCCACATGTGGAGGCAGGGCTAATGGTCGGACAGGGAGGGGTTCACACACACACACACACACACGTATGAAACATGTATGAGCCTCTGAGTGAAAAACAGACGAGCTGAAGGAAGAGTGTGAACACAGAGCTCAGAACAACAAATCCAGAGGGGGGGGGGTTTAATTCTCTCTCTTTGTATCAAGTCTTTACTACACAATCAGGTATATTTAATTTGTGCTATATTAATGTTCAGAATGTCGCATATTATCTTAAACTTCTCTTTTCAACAGTGTAAGCACCAAGCAGGTTGAAGGTCTTTTTGTCTTGTTATCACCTGTATTAACTTTTCAGAGGCACCTGATATCTCCGCAGTCGACTAAACTGTTTTGTAAGGAACAGATGTGAAGAGAAATCACCGTATGTTTATTTTTTTTCAAAGCATTCTGGTGATCTGATTGGCAGTAATGCAGATACCTGAGCTGTCGGTTGCAAGACATCACAGTGACTTGAGTTCAGAGGTTGCCGGAGCTATCGAGAGGGTTGGAGATGACCGACTTGTGAATGAGCATGAAGAGGGGCAGGTAGGCCAGGAAGTCGAGCAGGTCCAGCGGGGGGATGTGCTGCAGCTCCAGCCTGACGGCGGCCTCGTGCTCCAGTTGGATCCCTCCGGCCTTCAGCTCCAGCAGAAGCTGCTCGGCGCTGATGAAGCCCTGCTGGGCCGCGCTGTCTCCTCGCTGCTCGTCCAGGAGGAACAGGAACAGTTGCTACAGGAGGCAGAATAACAATTTTAGGCACAAATAAGGATGGAAAAAGAAGGGAAACAGGCTTTAGCGTGTGTGTGTGTGTGTGTGTGTGTGTGTGTGTGTGTGTGTGTGTGTGTGTGTTATTGTGTGTGCTCCTGTGGGTAGCCTCGGATTACCTCAACCTGTTTGCAGGCTTGTTTGCGTGCACCTGTTTGCACAGTTAACGCAGTCAAGGTAATAATTGTTGGGGGGGAGAGGGAGGGAGGGAGTAGAGGGGAGGAGAGAGAGGAGGGTAATCCTTCTGGCAATTAGCCCGTTCCCCCCCCCCCCCCCCGCCCCCGCCTCCCCCAGCCTCTCCAGTTAACAACCCTATCCCTAACAGGTCTGTAATTACACAGCCTCCCCTACCTGGCCAGAGGCTTCAGTTTCCACACCCTCGGTCACAGGCTTTCATCTTCCTCCTGCCTCTACTTCCTCGTATGAATGAGGGCCGGGCCCTGTGTGAGCAGCCAGCTGGTCGGCCCCGGTCCCCGGTCCATCTAAGATGAGCCGTGTTGTCTCGGGCTGATTACTGGACTGGGCGGAGTGGACGGCATGTTCACTGCTGGGCACTTTAATGAGATTAGGCTCTCGCCAATCTATGAAAAGGGGGAAAAGCACCCCGCTCTCTTTCGCCCCTCATTTCTATGCATGAGGGCCAAGTATTTCCCTTAAAAAAAAAAAAAAGGAGCTAGCATTTCAAAGCATGCTTTGGAATTGCTCCTCAAAGTGTTTACCAGTGTTCGCTTCCTTAGCATTCAACCTGCGGAGCGGAGAGGCATGAATGCGACTCTCTCATGTTGCATGGAGGGGATTCAAGTGCACCTTATGAAAACAAATCTGAAGAGTAGAAACATGTGGAACAGTGTTCTTCTTCTGCACATTTAAGACAAAGAGTAAGTTTTGAAGCAAGCTAACATTCGGAATTACCTTTGCTTTGAAGAGACGCACTTCGAGCGAGCGGAAGTCCATGTCGCTGATGAGTGATCGCATAAACTCGCTGCGAGAGAAAACAGGAAAATGAATGCACCAGTGGCGGTTGAACAAAGTTTACAAAAGTTTATCTTTGATTTTTTTGTTTCACAAGGTTTGGGGGAGCTGGAAGCAGAGGTGGAAAAATAGTATCCTGCTTTCACATGGTCGCAGAATAATCGTAAAGATGAGTCCTAAACATGGAAAAGGTTTTGTGAAGGCTTCCTGAAGTCATGGTAACGTTTGGTTTCCTCATCCCATCATCCCATTTAAGTGTTAGTTTTTTCTGTTTTTGCATATCGATTTTAATCTCTCATGAGGTCGTAACCAATGCATATAAAACTCAACTCGTCGTTTTTGTAGCATCCATGATGTTTCCTCACTACTATCTCCTAAAATCGGACCATCAGAGGATTTTAAGGAATGCAGGGTTAGCCACTAGAGTTTAAGTTGGATCCTACACATCCCAGAATGCAACTCAAAGCGTCTAGTGTTACATCGGTCTATCTGCTGAACGCCAACACCCTGAGTTTGCAGGTTTTCTCTTCTGAGTCTCCAAACCCGATAAGACGATCGGGGTAATTCTTCACATTTTAGAGCTCTTTTTTTATCTCTCTGAACAGAGCTGTTGTGGATCACACAATCTCTCTCTTGTGCCTCTGTAGACAAATTTAGGACAGCCGGTTTGGCGGGTGAGTTTTGGCGGGTGTTGTGTGTTTGGAGAGATGTGATGGTAAAGTGTTCTGAGCCCTTTGTGGTTGCTCACAGTAGCCTGGCTGCCAAACAATACGTGGGCACACGTGGACATCCCGCCACAGTAACGGATAAAACTGCTCTGATTTTGGGACACTGGGTGTTGGGGTGGGGTGGGGGTTTGGCTGGAGCAGGGTGAGTTGGGGTTTTTTTGTGTGGAGGTTTTTGGGGAGGGGATTCAGCACACTCTGGTGCAATGTGAGTGCCGGCAGAGCAGCAGAATCTAGGTCCGAACGGACAATTAAAGAGGGAGACACGACCGCTTGTGTTCCTTCCAGTCCAGCGTGTGGCACAGCGACGGCCGTCCCTTCTCTTAACGAGCGCCCGGTGTTAATGAGCCCCCTCCTCGCTGTGCGTTCAATGCCCAATGTTGGAGTGAAGAATGGACCAAGCGCTGGGCCAACGAGTGCAGTGAACGCCTGAGTGCTCGCAGCACCGCGATTGGCCCTCGTCCTCCAACCAGGGTGCAGGCGGGGGGGGCTTGACGGGGATGAAGCGAGACAGGGCAGCTAATGATCATTAATTGCACTTGGTTTGCAGTAAAAGAGTCCAAACGCTGGTGTGCTAAGGACACTGGCGTGATAATGGCGAGCGTAAACGAGCAGGCTGGGGGAGCGCTGATGAACCGCGGGGAGGATAATAGCAGCCCAACCCATTTCTCTTTGTTGGTCTCCCCCTGGCACCCCGCTGTGACACAGCAGACTTCTCGCTTACGTAAGGCAACAACATTTTGGCGGTCTCCTCGTTGGGGAGTGGGTGTACGGCGAGGCGGGTGGGGGTAAAGGGATGCAAATATATTCTGACCTAGTTTGATTTGACAGAATTGAGAGTTGTTTTTTTTGGATGTTTTTTGAGCGGGCTGCGGTGACGCTGTGCTGATATAGTGAAGGGAGACAGGAGGAGGAGGAGGGAGAGTTTATGATGTGATGGCTGATCAAACAATCTAAAGCAGAGAGATGATTAAAATAAAGTCCTTAATGATGCTAAACTTCGGTAATTTCTACTTGACATGGTTAGATCGCAGGGCAGAGAGAGAAATACGTTTTTCTGCCTTGCTTATGGAGTGAAAGTGCAATTGGGATGCAGTCAACATTTTTATTTTTTCTTCCCCAGAAACATTCAAAAACCCAGAATCACTTCTCCCTCTAAACAACCCTCCCAGGAGTAAAAGTCTCTTCTTTGTGGCCACTTATAAATAATGCGATCGATAAACTGTGAAGGAATCCTAACATGAAGAAGCTGAACTGATTTCAGCAGCAGCTCAGCTCCCAGCCCCATTTTTTCTCCGTCTAACCAAAAGTGTCACAAAACTTTCTTAGTTTTTTTCTGTCTGTATTAATTATTTTCTCTTAAAATAAAGAATTTTGCATGAAGAAAAAACGTCCTTTAACATCAGGATACCATGAGATTAATGTACGAAAAAAGACACAGTCATCTTTTCTTTTTTTTGCCTTCTACAGAGCTGCTTTCTGTTTTCTGCTGTGTCATGTTTCCTGCAGCATAAGCACTTCTTCTTCTTGTTCTTCTTCTTCTTGTTCTTCGCTCCCTGACTCATTAAGTCAGTTCAGTGAAATTCCAGGAACGAGGAGACTTACGGTAACTCTCAGTGCACAGGCATGCATGCTCACAAAGGGGGCCGTAGTGACAATAACAATGACCTCGATGCTGTTTGGGGGTGGGGGGGGGGGGGATCCTGTATGGCAATGTGCTTGTTCATGTGCGGATCATGTGACTTCCCCTGAGGGAATGCCGGCGCTGTGTGAGGTGGACTTGTTGGGGAGCACAATGCTGCAGCACACAGGGACAGATGGGCTGAGTCAAGGGCCAAAACAGCACGAAGCAGAGGAGTGAGAGGTACGCGACAAGAGAGCCGAGCGGAGATTAGAGGGACGGACAGTGAAATCTGGCAAAGAAAGGAGGAGAGTGATGGGGGGAGGGGGGGCTGCAATTAGTGCGAGGTAAAACCGGGAGAAGAATAAGAAAGTAGATATAAAAACATGGGCAGCAGCTCCTCAGATTTCAAAGCCTTACATGATCAGAAAGGCTGATTGTGTAACTACTGTTGCAGCTCATTTCTAAACCAGGATTAGAGACAACAGGATTAAGTGAAACAGGTAAGAGGATCAGTTGAGTTCAGTTGGGATGAGATGACAGAAGGATGCTTTTGTTTTCTTCTTGTTTGGGCTCTGGCATTATGAACGCCCATCTTCCTGCGTCGTCTTATTTAAATTGCAAAAGAGGAGTTTTTGTGCAAAGAGGTTTAATGTAGTCATTCATTATCATTACTATAATTGCCTCCATACAGAGCAGACACCCTGTTTTTTTTGGGGGGGGGGTGGGGGTGGGGGTTGGGGGGTGACCATGTTCAGGCCTCCTCTAATAACGCCACACAAAGGGGCACGGCTGTAAATCAGAAGACCCGTGACCCTGGCCCCGGCCTCGCTGAGAGGGAGCTCTCACTGTGGGGTGAGTGCTCCGGGAGCAGGCCTTGACCCTCGAGGACCTCCAGAGAAGGCTTGGCTCCGCGCGCTCCTGTCTGTAGGAAGCTTCACACACCCCGGGGCGGGAGAGGGGCGATGTGTGTGGGAATCTGAGGCATATGGGGGCATAATGTAAGAGGCCGAGTTCAAATCAGAGTGTTCAGAGTCCGTCTGTGCGGGGGTTCAATGTAGAGATGTGACTACTTAGAACGGGCAGGAAATGCTCTTATTAACCTTTTTATTGGTTAAGGCCACATTGTTTTACTTTTTTACTACGATGAATTAAATATCATACACCTCGATAAATATCAAATACAGGATCACAGGGCTGAAGTCGATATCTTCCCTCGATCACTTCTTGTCGAGTAGATTTTGGTTGAATTTGAGTTTCTTTTAAATCACTTTATGAAATCTTTCATGTTTGAAGATTTCATAAAGTTTCTTGTTTGAGCATTTACTTTCAAAACTCATCTCTTCAAACAAGCTTTTAATGTATGATTGAGAAGTATTTCCTGTTTTCTGTTGTTTTAACTTTATTGTTGTTATCTTTATGATTTGTGTGTAATGTTGCAATGTCTGTTAGTCTGTCCTTACTGTGCTGTTCTCTGTTTTTTAACAATTGTACAGTGTCTTTGAGTTTTTGAAAAAACGCTTATAAATAAAATGAATTATTATTATTATTATTATTATTAATAATAATAATCATGTTATTGGCCGTTTTGAGAGGCAGGTTTGTGTTTCAGTAAAATCTGGTTTGAGGACTTCATTATTGACAGATAATTCAATAGATGTTTTTTTTTTTAAAGTGTCCTAATCAGGTTTTTGTATGGAAGCCCCAAGAGGACATGTATTCATACATTTTACTGGATTTTCACTCTCGATTGTTCAATTTATACATCTTGTTGTCTCGGGAAGACGATGCTCCCGTGATAAGTTGACAGTTGTTTTCTCAGGATCTTGAGACGCTAGCTTGTGAAGAAGGGAAAATTAGCGTTGTTCTCCTGAGATCTCAGAAATAAAACAACTAAAATGTAAAGGTTATTACGTGAAAATTTGTGGAGTTTAACTAAAGTTACATCAATTTGTGTTCAAGAATATGTGAAAATTCTTCAATTCAAAGTGATATTAATCAGAAAATCCTCACATTTAAAAGCTGTAACTAAAGACAGTGTTCCTCTTCTGATCGATAAATGACTACATCCTTTTCCAAACAGACATTTGAAGTGTTTTTTTCAAATCCAGACTCATAACTTTGACTTCTAACAGTCACATAAAACGTCTGAAGACAGAAGATGAAGAGGATCAGAGAGAGAGCCCCACACACGACGACATAATCAGCGAAACCAAACTTGTGAACTTATTCTTTTTTTTTTTTTTTTATGGCGGGTCAGAGAGACTCGTCTTCCTGTGTCTCTCTGAAGGAGGAGTGTGTCGGCGGCTGACATCGTCACTTACTCCATGGAGGCGATTTTCTGAGCCAGGCTGGTGATCACAGCGAAGAGCCTCAGGTCCACGAGTCCATCTGTCACTCTGAAGTCCACCATCTCCAGGATCTACAAGAAGAAACACACAAGGCCATCAGTGTTTTACAACTCTAGGCTGGAATATCTTGACTGCTGTCGGATGGACTGAAAGGGAATTGAGTGCAGACGTTCACGATCCTGTGAGGAGGAATCACATGGTTTAAGGGAATCACTTGATCCTACATGAAGGGTCCTCATGAGGCAGACATTTGTGCTTTTTAGTGAACATTTCTTAGTGGTTTGCAGGGATTATGACACCCATATTTAATAGAGTTTGTTGACTTCCTCTAGTGCTGTAATCACAGCAAAATGTGAAATTGTCCAACGCTATTTTTTCCTGAAAAAATACCTGCAAACTAATGTTTCACATCAGCTCGATTTCATCATGCTGCATTACTTTTACACTCTGTTATTGAGACTACATGCTACACACACATAGCACATGTGAAACACACACACATGCACAAACAGCATCCTATGGACTTGCACTAATGGAGAGATGTCAGTGAGGGGGGGGGGGGCTGCACATGAAAGTGCGCCCGAGCAGTTTTGGGGGTTCAGTGCCTCGGCAGTGCTCAGGAAGTAACCTGGCACCTCTCCAACTTCCAGAACCAATTTCTATACATTGGTCCGCATCGGTGAGCCTTCAGTTCCCAACCCCAAGTCCACACAGACTGACCTACTGCCGCCTTTATGAGCAAATAAGCGCCTGTTTGAGGATTTGATTGGCTGATTGGTGTTTTTTAGTGTCACATTATGCATGCATAAACATTTTTTTTTTTTACAAGTATGAGTAGAGATATAAGCCGACCCTGTAGACGAAGATCTCCTCTTCTTCAGACAGCAGCTCTGCAGGCAGGATGTTTTTGAGAGCGAGTAGAACCTGAAGGCAGGAGATGTAGCCGTCACCGTCGCCGTCCTCCTGAGAAGAAGAAGAAACACCGTCAGCACCAAAAAAAAAAAAAAAACTACAATCATACAAACCAGGAATATTAGAAAACTATACAGCATTAATGTGCTCAATGTCATTTCTGCCATACAAGTATTTTTTATTTTTTCATGTGATTTTCATGTTTGGCTTTCAACGCTGCTGTAATCGTGGTTTAAAGATCATCTGGAGACTTCAACGACATGAACATGAAAACATTGAATCGAGAAGCTGAGAGGAGAAAGTCCTCCAGAAAATCAGAAACTGGAATACTCACACAGTATCACAGCTTCACACAGCTTCACACAGCTTCACACAGCTTCACACAGCTTCACACAGCCTCTTAAATACTCTCTCTACACTTTCTTACATGTATATATAATATACAATATCTAAAAATGAAACAACCAAAACTAACAACATGTAACTTCAACTTATATCAGTATTTCCTTTTGAGTTCTGGGAAACTGTAAAAAAAAAAGAAAAAAAAAGGAAAATGACTCGCCTGGTTCCAAACAACCAGAGTCTCATTTTACAGCGAGAGAAAGTATAAAAGATTTCGAGGAAATATAAAAGATTGAACAATCTTTCCACTTACTGCTTCAAAAGCTCTTTTGTACTCGGCCAGCTTCTCCTGACTGAAAATGCAGAACTTTGCCAAGAAGTCGACTGCAGAGAGAGAGAGGGAAGACAAAGAAGACAAACTTTTAGAGCTTCACTCAGCTTCACTCCTGAAAACCAAGAGCAAAAAATATCACTTTAGAGGACGCTTATTTTTTTAGTTTGTGGTGCATTTTTGATTTCCGGACAGGCTAACAACATTCAGCCTGTGTGTGTGTGTGTGTGTGTGTGTGTGTGTGTGTGTGTGTGTGTGTGCAGAGCAGATTAGAGTAATATTTCTCTCCTGTGGTCGCTCTGGGGTCACGGAGGGTAGGCGACACAGGGTGAAGAGTTCACAGGGAGTCCAGTTGGCCTTGATTGGTTTGGAGGTGGGGTCGAGGGGACCGAGGGGACACTTAGCCGCTGAATAGATGATGGAGACCCAGCGGACGAGACCTTGAAATAAAATAAAGGATTTCGCTCTAGACTTTTAAATGAGAGTTTAGAGCGACAGGAAGCAACCTGGGTAACATTTTAATGGTGGAATTTCTTATCATTTACATTTCATATTATGACTCTGAAGCTCATCGGAGCTGGAATCTAAAACTGATTGTAGGTCCATCATCAGAAACTAGAGGGCGACTGTTTTTGGGCGTATTGTTTGATGGCAGAAAGACCCGATAATCTTTGGCGCAAGCTCGTCAAGAGTGAGAATTTTCAGCTTTATTTTTTGAGGGCTCTTAAAACTTTCAAGAGGTTTTTAATGCACATCTTCCTGCACATTAATTATTTTGTACTTTTGTATTATCTGTATCTTATCCTCTGCATTTTCATTAAAAAAATTAAAAAAATCCCTTGACAGCTTGCAACGTGATTCGGAGAGAAACGTTTTTTTCTGGCTGTATAACTATGTATGGCAAAATAGACAATAAAGAAGTCTGACTTAAGTAACTGCTTCATTTTTAAGTGTGCGATTAAACTAACTCACCTCAAAAGTGTGTGTGAAATGTAATATCTTCATGTTAACTTCTGTTTTAAAAAAGAGATTTTAATAAACCTGCCTCGGCAACACATTTAAAACTTAGACTTCTGCACTGGTTTGAATAGAAGCCACCAAAAACAGGATTTTTCTTGTACATGTATCTGAAAAAAAAAGCATCTTTAGTGTCTCTTATGAATTTGTGACTTATTTTTGGCCGTTTTATGTTTGAACCCTGAAACAACTTGAAAGACTTTTAAGCGACAGAGTTAATTCAGACTTAAATGAAATGATTAATGTCCAAGTCCCCAATATAAAAACTATGATTACACCAGGAGGACAAACTGAGGCTAACCACACCCATGAATATTTCAGCAGGCAAATTTGGGAGGGTGAGTGACTTAGAAAAAAAAAAAAAAAACGGGGCAGAAAATGGGGCTTTTAAGCTGCTGCCACTTCAATTTAGGAGATGAGAATGAGTCTACTGAATAATGGATCTATTCATTGGTTTGTAGAAGAAAGAGGAGCAACAGAGTTGATATCAGTCTGGACTTAAACCCCTGGACCTCTGGGGTTTCTCCACAGTAGCAGGGGGGCTGTTTGAATCCGCCATTTATCAGCTTAGGCCTAATCAAAACCAGGCCTTCCCTGGCCTCGTCCTTTCACATGCAAAATGCAACATTCGCATCCAGTCAACTTGACTTGTTAAAGCTTGATTGATCAAAAAAAAAAAAAAAACCTGTGGGCTGGCTTCACGCATCTGTTTGCAAATATCTTGTGATGAGAGAGGAGATCTGCAGGACCGGGATCTGCTGGAGTCGCCACATGGGATCAGGCGGAGGATTTAAAATCTGCTCTCTTCAAAAAGATGCAAACACATTCACACACAGTGGCTGCATCAGTGCACCGGTCAATCAGCTAAAGAGAAATAGCAGCTTGTGTGATAGAGAGAGAGAGAGAGAGAGAGAGAGAGAATGGATCCATCCTTCTCTTCTTTAGAAAAGGGGGCCGCAGAGGCTGAGGTACGCCGACCATCTGCAGGAGAGCTGACGTGCTGAGGCGACTTCTGTAAGTCCACCAACACGGATGTGAACATATAATGCTGTGAAGGAGAATCCATGAAAGTTTGTTTTCTTCTTCACCGACCTGCATGAACCAATCAGGCGTCTGCTTGCTGAGCTGACAAATATTTATTTGTGGAATCCAACTTCCACAGGACGAGCATAACATATAATACTCATTAAATATTTGTCCTCAGAAGTGAAAATTTTAGTCAAAGCCAAAACAGATGTTGACAGACGTTTTGAAGAAGCATATGGGACCATGGGAGTTATGATACAAAAATATCCAACAGCACGCACATCCGAATCATTGAGTACCGGGCTCGGGACAAAAAATATATCCAAAGACAGAAGGAAGATTAAATCTGCACACTAACCCCTAGGGGAACGAAACTTTCAGTTAAATATTAATTAAAGCAGCTTCTGGTGTGTGGACTTACAGATAAAGTTTATATCTAAAAGTTCTTTACATGATGTTCTAATGAATTAGCCAGTTGGCAGATTTTGTTCTCGACATATTATCAAGCTTTTACCCCTGAACGAGGGGAACAAATGACATGAACAGTCACCTCTAATGACACTCAAGATGTCTCTAAAGCTTTAATACATTTTATTATTTCGCTTCTTTTACAGCTGTGCTCACTTTGCAGATTAACATTAAAATCGATAAACACACACACTGTGTCTCTAATGCCGGTCAAATGTGCATTTTGATTTGTGTTTTTGCATCACATGTGTGGATATTGTGGTGAGTGACTCGGCACATGTTGCTGCAGATGATACACCTGAGCACACACACAGTGGGCGGAGCTTTGTCTTCTTCAGATCATGTGGGGGGGAAACATGTTTGAGAACACACTTGACAAAGGTTCAGAGCGACTGAAACGCTCCGATTTCTTCTAATCAAATTGGTAGTGTGCAGGATTTTTTTCTTTTCATTGTGACAAGTTTGATGTCCTATACGCACCTACTTCATGAGAAGGTTGGATCGTGTGAACGCCTCCTTAAAATCATGGTTCAGCGGGATCTAAAACGGACCTGGCAAAAACTGTCAAAAAGATGGAGAAGTGAATAATGCAGGAGCGTCTAAGAAAGTTCAACTTCAACATCAGGCCTGATCACAACTTTGCCTGTTGTTGTCTGCACTGCTTCTATACACACACACACACACACACACACACAAACATGGGCGTGTAGTGCAGTGGTGCTGCAGCAGGTCGGGGGGGTCCCTGGCTGAGGGAGCACTCCGTCAGGGAATCATCCGGACAAAAGGTGCAGTGGAGTGAGAGATTGAGGGAGGAAGCGAGGGCGGGTGAAGGAGTGGGACAAAGCAGAGGCAGCAAAGCCTCCTGCCTGATAGCCTTATCTGATTCCACTCCAGCGCTTGATGGCTTTTTTTTCCAGCCTGCCTTTAAAGCGCACAGGTTGTGCCTTTGGTGTGAAGCCTAGCAGAAAATGTTAATCAAGAGAGGGACTGTGTGGAGAAAAGGGCGAGAGAAAGGGGAGAGTCACTCTGCTGGGGCCGTAATCTGTAATGAGACCGAGGCGATTCAGTTGCAATAGAGAGAGGAAGAATGGGGCTGTGATGATGATGATGAGCAGGGAGGTTCACTCTTTCACTGCCGTTTGTTTTTCTTGTTTTGTTCCTTTTTTTTTTCCCCCACCTCTCTTGCCGAGTCACTGCTCGTGCAGCGGTGCACAGGCTGCAAACAGCCCCGCGGGTCACAACTCATTTAACACACGCTCGGACGTCGTTTTCTCCCCGTCTGGCAGCTGACAGATGAAAAACACTTCTGGCTGCTCACCTGACAACTGTCGGTGCTCATCTGTGTATGATTTATATTCCCTTTTTTTTTTTGACCGCCACGCTTGTTTTGATAACGCCTCAAATGTGAGTGTCCCAAAACGGAATCAAACGTCGGGTCAGATTTGAAGTTTTGTTATCATCAATAAGATAGTTTTTAAATCTATCTATGACTTCAAGGCATTCAGAGGTTTTCTGAAATAAGCCACCAGGTTTAAGCCATACTCAAACAAAGAGAAGACTTGAGGGTAAGTAGGGGGGTGTTTGTATTAAAGTGGTTGTTGACCTTCTATTTTAACACATTATGTATTTTAATGTCTTAGTTTAAAGCCACTTTGTGTGAGCAGTGCAGGTCACTGATCTGTGGATAGATCCAAATGGACTTATGGTTAAAAATTACATTTTTATTTGTCACATGCTCATACAGATGTGCAGTGAAATGTAAAGTTCCGCAAAGGCCGTGCAATAACACTCAAATTACTAATACACATATATAAAGTAAAATAGAAATATAATGTAAAATTAAAAAAATAAATATTTGAATATACAAAATATAGAATAATGTAAACAGTGTAAAGTGTCCAGAGTGTCAAAGTGCAATGTGCAGATTGGAATGTGTGGTGTGTGTGCATCATGTAAGTTTGATGAATTCAAATGTAAAAGACGGAAAAAAACGGATTGCTTATCTAACAAAGTGTTATGTAATTGTTTAATGTTAATTGGTTATTGTTGTGTGACATCAGTAAATTAAAAAAGGAAAAGCGCTTTAGTCGAAGGTACAACACAGTAGTTTAAAACGCATCTTTCCACAGAGCTGTTCCTGCAGATATCTCCATTTTGTTCCCGAAAAATAAAATACAAACAGTCGTTGTAAAAACACTGTAAATCAATTTTTACACATAACTGAGGAAAAATTCAAATTACTCGCCTTTTTTTTTGGCTGATTTAGATTTTTTTGCATGCAGGATAAAGCTGTAAGTGTTTATTATCACGTTTGAGAACTATGGCTTATTTAAAAGAAATAAATGTCACTCCTCAAGCTGGCATCAGAATGTCGTTCCAGGGTTCCACTGAATGATGCAGACCATGCTGACCAGTTTGGTGATGTCATTTAAAATGTCATGAAAAAGCACCTCCATCACTAAATACTCCAACAGTGTCAGAGTAAGGATACAATTTATAATACACACACACACACACACACACACACACACACACACACACA